CACTGATACACTTCTTTCAGGATTATTTGATGGATATAAAGAATCAACAGAATTTAATTGAAGTAGAAATCTTTGTACTTTATATATTACTTTTGAAAGGTAATGTATCAAGTTTTCCACAAAAATATTAAGCAGCAAAACCCATTTTAAACATTGACAATAATAAGAAATGTTTCTTGTGCTGCAAATTAGATGCATATTAGAATGAAGACTCGAAGAATGATGCCGAAAATTCAGCTTTCAGGATTTTAAATTGTCACAATGTTTCATAATATTACTGACTTTACTGTATTTTTTGGAGTCATAGTGATCATAACAGACTTTAGCCACATAAAATATTTCTGACCCAAATTGTTTATTGTGTTTGTGTATATTGTAACTGTATGGAATACATGGTAAATGCTCTGAACGTGTGTTCAGTGTATTAACAGGAGGCTGCTGGACTGTGAGGGACTGTAGTGTGGTCTATAGGAACATGTCACATGTTCGCTGCCAGTGCCACAGACTGGGAACCTTTGGAGTCCTTATGGACAGCTCACAGAGAGAGGTACAGTACACACAGATACACACAGAACAATCAAGGCCACATAACTACTATACAGCTCTTCTTCACAAAAAGATTCACATTTTCCAAGTTTTTCAATAATACATAGCAACAGGATGTTCAATAGTGACATTTTCCTTCAGCATAATCATCACTGCTAATATATATTTTCCTTTCTCTCTCTCTCTCTCTCTCTCTCTCTCTCTCTCTCTCTCTCTCTCTCTCTCTCTCTCTCTCTCTCTCTCTCTCTCTTTGTTAAGCAGCAGTTAGAGGGTGACCTGGAGACCCTCGCCATAGTAACGTACTCCTCGCTCTCAGTTTCCATGGCGGCATTGTTGCTAACAGTCGTGGTTTTATCGTGCCTGAGGGGACTAAAATCAAACACACGCAGCATTCATTCCAACATGGCTGCCGCTACTCTACTTTCCCACTTCACATACCTGCTGGGCATCAACCAGACGGAACAACAGGTCAGAGAAGAGAGATGTCTGCGTGTGTGTCTGAATCTAAATGTGGGTTAGTAAAACAGACAAAGAAAGTCTGGTTTGGCAAGAACACAAAAACACTATAAAAATCAAAAACACAGTCTGTGCAGTCTCCTTTATGCTGAATGGTATTTGTAGATTGAATCAATCAATCAATCAATCAGTAAATAAATAAACTGGTCAAAAGAGACAGTAAAGACGTTTATAATGTTATTTTTTTTATAGCAAATAAATTATGTTCTTTTGAAATTTCTGTTCAACAAAGAATCCTTGAAAAATATATCATGGTTTCCACAAAAATATTAACAAGCACTACTGTTAGTAATCATCAACATTTATAGTAATAAGAATATATATGTGTGTGTATATATATATATATATATATATATATATAATATTGTGTGTGTATCAGCATAATAAAGATTTATTTATTATGATTTATCACAAATTTTTCATTATACTGTGTAAACATAGTAATTCATATGTTTTTTTTTTTCTTTGTTTTAAAATACCAATATCCTTAGACTTGAAGTATTTTGGAGCCCACTTACACTTTACATTTTACAGCTTTTATAAAGCCAAGTGTAACAGCAGGTATTAAAGTCAAGTCAAGTCAAGTCACATTTATTTATATAGCGCTTTTCACAATACAGATTGTATCAAAGCAGCTTCACAGTGATAACATGTAAGTAGCACAACACAGATCAACAACATTGCTAAACACTAAATAAATAACCCCAACTGAGCAAGCTCAAAGCAAGCCAAAAGCAAGGCGACAGTGGCAAGGAACCAAACTCCATCAGATTGGATGGAGAAAAAACCTTGGGAGAACCCAGGCTCAGTCGGGGGCCAGTTCTCCTCTGGCTTACATTCATATTGTTTAAATATAAATATTAAATATAAATATTGTTTATGATTCAAACGGCGCCATAACATATCGCAGGCGTTGAGTCGTCTCATCACAGGCGTTGAGTCGTCTCATCACAGGCGTTGGGGCATCCGAAATCCCCGTGAGAGGCTGGACACAAAACTGGACCTGACGAACGCCATTTTTCTCGGGACAAGCGTCCCGAGATAACAGCAGAAAGGCAGATGGGAAATAATTAGCATAGCTGATGTTCATAATAATTTCCGTTATAACTCACAAACTCTCCGTAACCCGAACTCTCCGCAACCCAACCATACGCGCCGACCCGTTTGTCTAAGAGGCTGTCGAGCCCCACTGGTGCGTTAAGCAGTTTCAGTGGCAAACGGTTCCGTATGGCATAACAGAGGAGTAGAAGGTAAGCATTATGTGAATGCTTGACTAAAGAGATGCGTCTTTAATCTAGTTTTAAACTGTGTCAGCGAGTCAGAGGCTCGGACCGTATCGGGAAGGCCATTCCAGAGTTTTGGAGCTAAATGCGAGAACGCCCTCCCTCCTTTACTGGACTTCGATATCCTAGGAATGACCAGAAGCCTTGAATTTAGTGATCTTAAGGAACGCGGTGGATTGTAGGGCGAAAGAAGGTCCGTTAAGTACATAGGTGCTAAACCATTTAGGGCTTTATAGGTCAGTAGTAGTATTTTGTAGTTGATGCGGAACTTAATAGGTAACCAGTGTAGAGATGATAAAATCGGTGTTATATGATCATATTTTCTTGACCTAGTAAGAACTCTAGCAGCTGCATTTTGTACTAACTGTAGCTTGTTTATTGAGGATGCAGGACAACCGGCTAATAAAGCATTACAGTAATCTAGTCTCGAGGTCATGAATGCGTGAACTAATTTTTCTGCATCAGAAATAGATAGCATGTTACGTAGCTTAGCAATGTTTCTAAGGTGGAAAAAGGCTGTTCTTGTAACATATGAAATATGATTTTCGAACGACAAGTTGCGGTCTAGTATAACACCCAGGTCTTTTACTGTTGTGGATAAAGTAACAGGACATCCGTCTATATTAAAGTTGTATTGTGAGAGGTTTTGTGAGTAGTTTTTTGGACCAATAAGTAATACCTCCGTTTTATCTGAATTTAATAGCAGGAAATTACGCGTCATCCAGCATTTTATATCTTTGAGACACTCTGTCATTTTAGATGAGTTAGTGTTTTCATCTGGTCGTGATGAAATATATAATTGAGTGTCGTCAGCGTAACAGTGGAAATTAATTCCATGTTTTCTTATAATATTACCAAGTGGCAGCATATATATTGAGAATAGCAGAGGGCCTAAAACTGATCCTTGCGGTACTCCATAGTCTACTGACGTTATCTTTGATTTTTTCCCATTTAAACAGACAAAATGAGAACGGTCCGATAAGTACGATCTAAACCAGCTTAATGCCTGTCCCTGGACACCGGTGAAGTTTTGTAGTCGATCCAAGAGTATTATATGATCTATAGTGTCGAACGCAGCGCTAAGATCAAGTAGGACTAGTATTGAGATACAGCCTTGGTCAGAAGCTAAAAGTAAATCATTTGTAATTTTAACTAGCGCAGTTTCTGTACTATGATGCGGTCTGAATCCTGACTGGAATTTTTCATAGATATCATTTTCTTGCAAAAAAGAGCACAATTGAGCGGACACTACTTTTTCAAGTATTTTGGACATAAATGGAAGATTTGAAATGGGTCTGTAATTTGCCAAGTTATTTGGATCTAATTGCGGTTTCTTAATGAGCGGTTTTATTACAGCCAGCTTGTATATTTTTGGGACATGACCTAAAGATAAAGACGAGTTAATAATATTGAGGAGAGGCTCTTCCACTACAGGTAATAGTTCTTTCAGTAGTTTAGTGGGTATTGGATCTAATAAACAAGTTGTTGGTTTAGATGCAATGATAAGTTTATTTAGCTCCTCCTGTCCTATCGTTGTAAAGCGGTTTAGTTGTTCTAGAGGGTCCATAATTGAAGCTGAATCATAAGACACCATAGCGGATTGTACATTTATAATTTTGTTTCGGATGCTTTCTATTTTCGCATTGAAGTAATTCATAAAATCATTACTACTAAACTGTAAAGGTATATTTTGCTCTGGTGATGTCTGTTTATTTGTTAGTCTAGCCACGGTGTTAAATAAAAACCTTGGATTATTTTGGTTATTTTCGATTAGTTTGCGGAGATGCTCAGCCCTGGCTGTTTTTAGTGTCTTTTTATAACGTGACATACTGTCTTTCCACGCGATTCTAAAGACCTCTAAATTAGTTTGTTTCCATTTACGCTCTAAGTTGCGAGTTTCTCTCTTGATAGCATGCGTAGCACTGTTGTACCACGGTGCTTTAATTTTCTCTCGAACCTTTTTTAATTTAATTGGCGCAACAATATCTAATGTACTAGTAAGAATGGTGCTTAAACTGCTAGTCATTTCCTCTAATTCATCTGTTTGTTTGGGTTCACTTAGCAGCTTAGATAGATCAGGTAAGCTATTTGAAAATCCATCTATAGTGGTTGGAAGGATTGTTCTGCCTGGTCTATAACGTGGCGCAACATGACATATTTCAGCAGTACGTATTATGCAAGTCACCATGTAATGATCAGTGACATCATCGCTTTGCGGTATAATATCTATATCAGTTGGATCGGTTCCATATGATATAATTAAATCTAGTGTATGATTTAGACGATGAGTGGGACCACTGACGTTTTGTTTGACCCCAAAGGAGTTTAATAAATCTGTAAACGCAGCCCCTAAAGCATCATTTGTATTATCTACGTGTATGTTAAAATCTCCAGCAATTATTGCTTTATCGACATTTACCAATAGATCCGAGAGAAAGTCTGCGAACTCTTTTAGGAATTCAGCATATGGCCCTGGAGGTCTATATACAGTAGCCAGGGCTAGAGATAATATAGATTTCCTTTTTACATCTAAGAGCGTAACATTTAGCACAAGTACTTCAAATGAATTAAACCTGTGACCTGTTTTCTGAGTAATATTAAAAATATCTTTATAGATTGTTGCAACACCGCCGCCACGACCGATCAGACGAGGCTCATGTTTATAACAGTATCCTGGCGGAGTAGATTCGTTTAGACCGAAATACTCATTTGGTTTAAGCCAGGTTTCAGTAAGGCACAGAACATCGAAGTTATTGTCTGTGACCATTTCATTTACGATAACCGCCTTAGGTGTGAGCGATCTAATGTTTAGGAGACCTAGCTTTAGAAATTGTTTTTGTTGACTGATATTTAGATTTTCTGGTTTAATTACAATAAGATTTTTGCTAGATCCTACACTAGATTTATTGTTTGGCTTCACTAAACGAGGAATAGACACAGTTTCTATATAATGTTCCACACTATGCTTATTAGTTAAGTTTGGACCGCAAAGGCTGTAATTTGGACTTTGACTCATTAGTCATCTGGTGCGTAATGTCTTGGAAATGTTGTCCGATAGCACAGCCGCTCCGATTCGGCTGGGATGGAGACCATCTGTGCTGTACAGTCTCGGTCTTTCCCAAAACAGATGCCAGTTATTTACAAAGTGCAGCCCCTGTTCATTACACAATGACATTAACCATTCATTTAATGCAAAAAGTCTACTGAACCTTTCCTGTCCTTGTCTGTACGTGGGAAGCGGTCCAGACACGATGATCGCTGCTTTAGGCGCTGTGCTGCGTACCGTCTCGATCAGGCTCCTGTAGTCCTTCTTCAGAACCTCCGTCTGCCGCAGCCTGATGTCGTTCGCTCCCGCGTGCAGCACAACAGCTCCGACGCGCTCGTCCCCGTTCAGGATCTCGGGAACCTGTGCAGCAACATCAAGAACACGAGCACCAGGAAAGCAGTGAGTGCGCACTTTACCTTTATCCGAATTAGCGCGGACATGGCGGACTATGGATGTGCCGATGATCACGGCGTCATCGCGTTCCGGCTCGCGAAGAGGGGAGAAGCGGTTCCGGGTGGAGATCTCGAAGACCGGGAGGGGCGGAGAGGCAGCTCTGGTCCTGGCTCGAGTCTTCCGCTGTGTGATCCATGGTCCATGTTGTTTCGGTGCCGGAGTGAATGAAGCCTTAGATGATCGCATCTTCCTCGGCAGAGTAACGTACGGCGTAGATGAACTCGGAGTCAAAGAGTGATTTGATTTGTTAGCGTCGGCGCGTGATGCTTCAAGCGTTGAGCGCCGATCCAGCAGCTCGGCTTGCTTCACCAGCAGACCGCGGATCTGTTTCTCGACGTATTCCAGCTCCTGCTTCACCGTGAAGAGCTCGAATGTGTCTTCATCTGCACTCAAAGGTAATGTTAGACACGCATCTGATATGTTCGCCATTATAACGGATGATCAGTAAATTAGTAGTGATACTACAACTATCACTACTAATTTAGGATTGAAATGTCGGAAATAACCAGGATTCAGTGAAACGGGTGTAAAATGAGACGATCAAATAGGCGAGAGGGCACGCGTGGAATGCTAGCGGGCTAAAGGCTAGTAGCCAGGATTTAGGGAGGTTGGATATAAGTAGCGATATCAAAGCAATCCAATTGTTTTTTATAAGGAATACTATCGAGGATAAGTTCACATAATATAAAAATAGAAAGTGCTTGTTTATAAATAAGTGGTAAAGAAGAAAATCAAGGATTTGTGAAGAAATTCTCCGGAGCTACAAACACAAACAACCGATCGCTCGCTTTATCAGAGCATAAGCATGCTGTCCAGGCTCAGAGGTAAAATCATGAATATTTCAGTATCAAGATGGTTGTCAGGATAAAGCACTAAGCAGCTCGAATATCATTTGTCATTCAGAAACAGACATTACAGCCATTAGCGCAATATGATTCAAAAACCACTTACACCACACAGTGAGTTGGGAATCCGACATTATTAAACACTTTTTCTGACACACACTCTTTCCGTGTCTCTCTTCCTCAGACAGACACTCACACATTATATCTCTTTCTAAAGCCGTTTAACGCTATTTTTTGAGCAAACCACTTACACTAAAAGCCTGTTACTGCTGAGTTCATTAATTTCAACTGCTGGGCTGGGATGTGGGTGTGTATCTGTGATAGAGTATGTGTTCATTCATTATTCATCTTCTCTCTCGGACTATCACTTTGCTTGCGTGTATTGATTTTAGACCTCATATTCTCTCTTTTTTTGGTTCTACAGCAGATAGTATTCAGTATAGGAATGGGATCAGGAACTGTTTTGAGCTGGATGTGGATTCTTCCCTATGCTGATGTATATCTGATTAAAATGGCCTCTTGAACAAGACAAAATTTTGGGGTGGGACCTCTGATCTTCTGTACACAGATGACATTTATATAGATCAGTGGGTGGGTCTTTGGTTTTGTCCGTGAGGAATGGATTATATTGGATCATTGTGGTTTTCTATTGGTTAATTTCATGTGAGTGACAGGTTTTCCCGCCCTCGTATCAGTAAACACTTCATCAGAGAAGAGGGGAGGGGAAGTCATTTTGATTAAAGAATATGAGGGCACATGGATAAATAAAATAAAAAAGATACATTATTTGTAATAAACACAGAAAACTATATTCCTTTAAAAAAAAATTGACCATTTTTATTTCATGGTGACTTTAAATCAGAGGGTTAAAATGAGTGTTGAAAATGTTATGCATATTGTAATTTTTGAAGCCCTTTATCAAGTATATAAACATCCAATATGCTGTTCTCTGTTCTCTTTTTACTAACTAGTTTATTGTCTCTGCTTGATGCAGTTCCTGTGCACAGTGGTTGCAATTCTGCTCCATTACTTCTTCATGTCAACGTTTGCGTGGCTGTTTGTGGAAGCTCTGCATATTTACCGCATGCAGACAGAAGTGAGAAACATCAACTATGGAGCCATGAGATTCTACTATGCTATTGGCTGGGGAGTCCCTGCTATCATTACAGGTATGAAGAGACACATACGTACATTTACATTTACATTTATTCATTTTGCTGACGCTTTTATCCAAAGCGACTTACAATTGCTATATATGTCAGAGGTCAGGGACACATTGGTGTCTCACAGTGAATTCGAACCTGTGTCTCTCACACCAAAGGCATGTGTCTTATCCACTGCGCCATCACCACATCACGTACACAAATTATATATGTTCTGTGACATGTATGTGTGCTGCAGGGCTGGCAGTCGGGTTGGATCCAGAGGGGTACGGAAACCCAGATTTCTGCTGGATCTCCATGTACGATAAGCTCATGTGGAGCTTTGCGGGACCAGTTAGCGTCGTCATACTGGTATTGTGCTCTTCTGTGTTTATGTGTGTTGTTTGTGACATATAAAGTATCTCATCTTATTATTTCTCTCTCTGTGTGTTTTGGATGTATGTGGTACAGGAATGATGGTCTTAATTGGCAACTCTCTCTCGCTCTGTTTTACAGATGAATGGTGGGATGTTCTTAATGGTCCTGCGTATGACATGCAACCCCACTCAGAAGGAGATAAAAAAGCTGCCCGTGATGTAAGTACAACATGCATGTATTCAGGAACATTCAAAATGGAAAGTGGGACAGAGGATATTATAAAACATATTTTCATGAATACAGTATTAAATTGCTGACTAAAAGAGGTAGTTCACCCAAAAATGAAAATTATCCCATAATGTACTCACTTTCAAGCCTTGCTAGATGTATATGACTTTCTTATTTCAGCCAAACACAATCGGAGTTACATTAAAAAAAATGGGAGTGAATAGTATTTGAGATTTTGAAGCCCAAAAAAGCGGGCTTTGCTTCAGAAGGCCTTTATTAACCCCCTGTATGGATTACTTTTATGATGGATGGATGCACTTTTTTGGGCCTTCAAAATCTTAGGAACTCTTAGGATATTTTTAATAAAACTCAGATTGTGTTTTCACCACAGAATTAATGCTTTTCATCTCTTAATTCTACATTAATTCCTTTTATTCTATTTCTCTCTCTCTCTCTTTCTCAGTTCTACTATCCGCAGTGCCTTCCTCCTGTTATTGTTGAGTTCTTGTGTTTGGTTGTTTGGTCTTATGGCTGTTAATAACAGTGTCCTGGTGTTCCACTACCTGTTCATTGTCCTCTGTTGCGTACAGGTAAGTGTGTGTACTGGCTCTCTTACACATCTTTTTCTTTTGTGTGTGTGCTTGAGTTTGTCATTGTCATTTTTAGCTGTAAATTTGATTAATTGTGTCCTATATAATGTATTATAATGTTCTTCTCCTACTCGCTTGTCTCAGGGTTTAGCAGTTCTGTTGGTTTTTACTCTCCTGAACTCAGAGGTGCAGGAGGCCTGGAAACTGGCCTGTCTGGGCAAGAAAAGCCCCAGTGAAGATCCTCAAAGACCTCCACAGATTACCGTTAGTGAACATAAACACGTATATTAACATGTGACCCCCCACTCTGTGCACAGTTACAAACACACACCTATATTTAAACCCGTGGAGTGAAAATAAGCATGTGGATTTGTAACCTGCTCTATGTGTGCAGGGCCAAAACCCGTTCAACAGCGCCTCCTTGCTGGAACAGAGCGGATTACATCGGATCACACTCGGAACTTCAACGATCTCATCAGTCAGCAGTGCAAGGTCTGTCAACACATCAATTTTAGATTTAATATTCTTAGCAAAATGTATATCTCAAAATTAACAACTTTTAGAACAAAGAAGGATAATGATGTAAAAGGAATAACATGGTAACATTTTACAATAAGATTCAGTTTGTAAACATTATTTAATGCATTGGGTCTCATTAACTATGTTAACTATTAAAGGGACAGTTCACCCCAAAATGAAGATTCTGCAATTACTCACCCTCATTTTGTTCCAACCCGTAAGACTTTCATTCATCTTCGGAACCCAAATTAAGATTTATAATTAAGATAGCTTTCATGAAACCTGCCGGCACAGAAAAGTTATTAAAGACATCATTAAAATAGTCCAAATGACCACAGTGGCTCAATCTTAAGTTTATCAAGTGATGAGAATTCTTTTTGTGTGCAAAAAAACAAACAAAACTAACGACTTTATTATTACAACTAATCATTTCCTTCTCTGTGAGCCTCGAGATATTTCACGTAGTGTAACTGCGCAGCTTTTCTGGTTTGTACGTCAAACGTAGGCTCACTATTGACTGACGCTGGTTATGTGTGTGATGCATGTGACGTGCAACCTAGAAGCACTGTGCAGACCTAATTCTAAATTCTAAATATCTGTAGATTATATCACTATTTTATTAGTTTACAGTGTACATTATTGTAAGTGTGAAAACATGTAAACAATGTGTATGTATCTGTGTGTAACAAACTTTATGTTTTTGACAGGGAGAATCTCTTGGCACGGCAGACTCTAGAACACAATCTAGCTCACACAGGGGCCACTGACCTGGACGTTGCAATGTTCCACCGCAACGGAGGTACACTAAAACACAATAACCTGCATGCATGTACGTATTCACACACACAACACTTACACACTTTTTAACTACTCTCTATTCATTCTTTATTCGCTAGTGGCCATGTCTTGTGACAAATCTCTGTCAGAATTAGTGACATTATCTCTTCTTCTTTCATTGCTCTTACTCTGTCTGTCTGTCAGGTGAAGACTCAGACTCAGATTCTGATCTCTCACTGGAGGAGGAGAGGAGTTTGTCCATCCCGTCATCGGAGAGCGAGGACAATGTGCGCCTGCGTGGACGGATCCAGCGACGCTTCAAACGGACTGGTCATAGTGAACGTTTACTCACAGAGCCCTCCCACAACGGTGGAAAAGGTACTGATATCATTGTTGCAGATGCCTATATTTTTGATAGTGAAGCCAAACGAGTACACATTAGTTTCATGATGCCCAACTGTTAGTGTATGGAACTGTTTATGTGTCAGATCTGGATGGCAATGACCTGCTCTCCTATTGGCCAGCGCTGGAAGGCTGTGAGGCGCACTCTCTGCAGAAATGGGGCTCAGAGCGCCGCCTAGGGGGCGACTACAGCAAGGACGCAGCTAATAACAACCAGCCAGATGCAGCGCTGACCAGCGGAGATGAGAATGGGCTCACACACAGACACCGCAAAGGTGAGGCACACGTTCATCTGAGATGTTTTCCAGTATTGGCCAATTTATGATGATATTTAATTTGGCGTGCTCATTTGAACAATTTTTACATTCAGATTACCATCTACCCTCATCTAATGTACTCTTAAAATTAATCTTTAAAAACTTACAAATTCTTTAAAAGCTATGGGCCAATTATAGAGTTATTTATAGTTAACTAAAACTGAAAAAAAAAAAAACTTAAAATGAGTAAGGTAGCCTGGAAAATTAGATAAAAAAAAATTGTATGTAGTTTTACTTGATATACCGAAATAAAATGTATTAAAAAGTATAGACATTAAAAACCTAATAAAGGGTAAAAACACACAAAAATATTACTATTTAATTAATTACTAAATTATTAAAACTTTAACTAAAATTAAAATCAAAATATAGTGTATGAAAATGGAAACCAATTCAAATTGTTTATACAAATCTAATTGTGTCTCAATGGTACTAAAAACACTTTGATATTAGACATTTATTTACAAAAAATTAGACCTTTTTTCTTTATCAGCTTATTTCCCCTATTTACCTTTTAGATTATCTCACTCTTAAAATTAATCTTAAAATGTAATAACATGTAAAATGTACACTCCAGCAAATCTCAGAATAAATATCCATTTTCCATACTGTGCATTATAATGTTGTGATGTCTATATTCTCTTGTAGTATTTAAAATTACATTTTATCTTTTAGTGTTTGCACTATTTTTAATTTCTTGAAAAAAAAAGAATAATGGTATTTTAATTTTAAATATTTTAGAAATAAAACAATAATCGGTTTATTGTTATCAGCCAGAATTTTTATATCGATATAAGGCTTAGAACGCCATATTAAAGCTCTCTGCTTCCATTTCTCAGGAATCCTGAAGAATCGTCTGGGCTGCCCTCCTGCCCTGCAGGGCCTGTCTGCCGTGGGTCGCGCTCCCAGCGAGATGTCTTGGTACAGAACCTCCACGTTGGGTCACAGAGGCGTCCCAGCTGCCTCCTACGGTCGTATGTACTCCGGTACTGGCTCGCTGTCCCAACCCGCTTCCCGATACTCTTCCCGCGAACACTTGGATTCACTTGCACGACGACAGCGTTCCCGTGAAAACCTCGACCTGTTGCCGCGACGACGCGAACTTGGTGCTGAACACCTGGGTGGGTCCAGAGAGAGGCTGGGCCCTGTCCACAGTTTCCATGCCTCCAGGGAGGATCTGGTAGGCAGGGGTGGTATGGTGGGTTTCATGGGGGCAGAGGGTTCATTGAGTGGCTCGAGAACACAGCTCAACACTCTAACGAGGCAACAGGCCTCTCGGGAGCACCTCGGAGGGGCTCTCATGAGCAGTCGGTCACGAGAGCAGTTGGAGTCTAGCGGTGGAGCGCAGCCCTGCAGGGAGTGGCTGAGAACCCTGCCGCCCCGACAGCTCTCACACCCCGAACCGCACCCACCCTCCTCACCCCCTCCACCGATCACAGAGGAACCCCAAGAAACCCTGCCCTCGCGCCGTGGTCGCCTAGACTCCGCCCCATCATGTAGGTACCCGTCATCTGCAGCTGCACCCGGAGCCCCATCCAGTCGTCCACCCTCTAGTGAACACCTGGATATCCTCTCCTCCATACTCGCCTCCTTCAGCTCCTCTGTCTTAACCCCGCCCCCTAACCCTGCCTCAGCTGGCCCTTCCCCTTCCCCGCCTCCTCTCTCTGCAACCTCTCAGAGCGTCTCTGAAGTGTCACCTGACTCTGAGTAAGTCCAGCCCATTTTTTGTCTCGCTGTTCGTCTGTTTATATTCCACATTGTTTTATGGTCATCTTTGGTTCTGTTCTCATAAAACGGATTAGTTCTCTCCTGATAATGATATGAAAATGCAACTTTGTTTGCGGTCTATCATCATCTACCCATTCACACACTTCACAACACTCATGACTTTACCCCGTGAAACACAAAAGGAGCTATTTACAAATTGTCAAAAGTGGTCTTTTCAATACAACAAAAGTCCATGGTGATCAGTTGCAAATTGTGTGTGTGCATATATATATATATATATATATATATATATATATATATAGCATGATAAATGCTATCAAAATAATGATAAAATATTAATGTGTGTATACGATGAATATAGATATATATATATATATATATATATATATAAATATATGTATATATATATACATATATACTGTATATATATATATATATTAGGACTGGGCAACAATTAATCGCGATTAATCGCATCCAAAATAAAAGTTTGTGTTTACGTAATATATATGTGTGTGTAGTGTGTATAATTATTTTGTATAGACCATTTCACAAGATATAAACAACACTGGTCCAGAAGCACTTCCTGTTTCAGTTTGTAACTGTTTTCTTTATTTCACATGTAAAGAAAACATCTTAAAGAAGTTTGTTTAACTTTTTGATTCAGTTTTATATGTTCTGTTGGTTGTATTTTATCCCAGCTTTTATGTAGTGTTAAAAAACTGAAACAGGAAGTGCTTCTGGACCAGTGTTGTTTACATCTTGTGAAATGGTCTATATATAAATACACACACATGCATGTATATATTTAAGAAATACACATATATTATGTAAACACAAACTTTTATTTTGGATGTGATTAATCACAATTAATCGTTGCCCAGCCCTATATATATATATATATATATATATATATATATATATATATACATGGTATCTCACACAGGGGACTGCCTCTGGTGCCCCCTTAAAAAAAGTATGTACAAGTATGTACATGATGTTGACATCTTTCATCTTTTGTCTCTTTGTAGAGTTAACAGAAGTGACGGACAATCTTGATGATTCCTTCACAGTCCCATAATGCACCTATGCAGATGGGCTCAAGAGAATCACAGGACATAGCCAGCCGGAGCGATCAGGACTCCCACTTCACCCTGGAAAGTGTTCAGGGCATGAGAGTGAAGTTGTTCATCAAGGGCTTGAGATATCACCCTCCTCAGAACAGACAGGAAATCAAACCAAAGAAGGTGATGATTTCCATGATTTTCATTTGTCCAATCTGCAAACCTCAAATTTCAGACCAACAGCTGAGAGGACTGGTCAGAGAGAAAGAGAGAGAGAGAAACAAAACTGTACAGAACATTTTTATACTTTTGTATCTTTTTCATCAAAGAACAAAGAAGAAAATCTCTAGTGATGTTTTTGATGATTGTGTGGATATATGTTTAAATGGGTAGGATCGAAAAAACATTTTCAAACCCATTCCGAGCCAAAACAGCCCCAAACATTCCCACTCCAATCTTTATATTCCAACATGTGTTTATGCAAACAAGCCACGCCCACTGATAAACTGGAAGAGAGTCTACGAAGAAAAAGATTGGTCCATGTAAATGTGGAAGATATTGGCCCAAACATGGGATTGGTGGGAGACTCCAGAGACAGTGATTGTAATCTTTAGAATTATGAATCAGAAGATATGATTGGACCGTAATGATTGTCAATCAAGAGATTGTTTTCAGAAGGGTGACTTGATTGGACGATTTTAGGTTTCTCTAAACACATTTCTTTAACAAACTCCAACAAACTTGTATGAGATGCCTAACCAATTTCTGAAGTATTTTTGGCCAAACTGCTCTGCATTTGTTGAAGTTTGTTGCAGCTGTGTGAAGAGACCTTTATTTAGTTGTGTTATTAGCCTGCAAGCATATTCAAGACTATATTCATAAAACCTTGTTCATATCCAGACTTATCATAATTCAAATACTGCTTAGTGACTCAAAATTACTCAAAAATCCCAAATCAGCGATTGAGAAACTGTTTAATCCATCTACTGTATGGTTTCTAACTAAAATAGCTAAATATTGGTCACTGTTAAGTATTGAATATACAGTACTTCAGAGAAAGGAACATTGTGATATGAGTTAAAAACAGTCGGTTATGGTAAGATCATCTAAAAATATCAGGCTCCTGTTAAAAAGGGAAATCATGCTTCATCATATGACTTTATTTCTTTAGTCATATAGTATTACCATGAGTTTTGCCAAAAAGAGTGCCCCGTCAACCCTTTTATACCTCTTACCTGTCATAAAGTGCTCCAGTACTTTTTCTAATCATGATTTTATATTTTATTTATGACTGCATAACTTTATCTTGTACAGACATTAAATTAATTTATTTTATTTATTAATATTTATTGAAATTAATTTATCTACCATAATCATCGCCGGAGTGTTTCTAAAGAAGTGTGTGTGGGAGTTATGTTTTTTATAAGAGCGAGATTTCATCCGTTTCAAATGTTTTATGTGTGAATTTTTTGTATATGTTCTGTCTAATATGTCCCCCTCCTCTTCTGTTCACAATGCTTTCTGGGAAAAGAAATGTCCTCTGTCCATCAGAGAGAGAGAGAGAGAGAGCAGTGGAAGACAATGACTGGGTGGAAGAGAGAAAAGGGGAATGTATAATGGCTCAACATGTTTATTACAGGACATGTTGTATTGCTTTTACTGATGGGGGGTTATCAGAAAAAAAAAATCTGCTACCAATGGGAGTTGAAAACGAGACCCGATGGGCGTCAATAAAAGAGTTAACACTACCATGCTTCTGTACTTGTTCGTCACATTACACGTCAAATTTCAATCGAATCAAATTAAATTACATCTACATTTAAATTTCGAATCTGCTTTTCCACTAGTTCTCATTTTGTTTCACTGATTTACACACTCCATTTCCAGGCTACTATTGTAACACTTCTTAAAGGGACAGTTCATCCAAAAATCAAAGCGTCAATTTATAGGGATGGGGGGTTGAACTACACCTTTAATTATGCTTTTTCATAACTTGAAAAGGACAGAGGGATCTGCCAAACACTGTTTAAGACAAGTGAACAACACTAAATTCAACCAGTCCATGAGTAGAAAGTTTATGAGAAGCACTTGTTTACCTGAAAAAAACCTGCATAGTATAAATCAGCTACAGTAAACTGAATCAAATGGTTGGTCCTGAAAACACTGTCCTAAAACGGTTAAACCCAAGGAAGGATTCTGGTCTGACAATAGCTTTCTTGCAATTGCACTTTTATAAATGGACTTTTCCTCATAATTGCAGAATAATTTCCTGCTATTTAGACATTATGAATCACAATTGCATCAAAAGGGGGCCTTGCAGGACATTAATCCATCCTTGGTTTGATCCTGATACAATCATCAAATTAAAATGCTATACAGTAACATTAGAAATCTCATTTCAATTCATTTCCTCTTCCCATCAAGCAGGACTGAATATCGCTGCTCAATTCTGGCCTGATCATGTGAGGGTTTAGGGCCGTTCACACAGAATGTATTTTTTTGATGGATGTGTCTTTTTTTATAATCAAAAATTATTTTTGTCCATACAGTGAAAGTCAATGGGGTCCAAAATAACACAGGACCTGATTTACTTTAATTTTAAGGACAAACTATACTCTTTTTGAAATATATTATTTTGTGTTCAAAACAAGAAAGCAAGTCTCATACGGTCAGTAAATGATGAATTTTTCAATTTGGGAATTTTGGTCCCTTTAAGTAGAAATATCCTACTTTTGACTGAATGGAATGCAGCACCCGTGTTGATGAGAGAGAGGATAAAAGGAGATGAGATTTCTATCTGCCAATGGAACGAAGCCTGCATGAGTGAATCCCCCCTCCATATGATACACATGGTACATACCTAAACACCAATTAAGTTTAAAAAATATATTGTTTTGTAAATAAACAACATTGATCGAATAAAAAAAAATGACTTTCCAAATGAAAGTAAAAATAGCTAAGATGTCATAAACATCTGTGTTCATGTCTGTGGATGTTCGTTTTCCTCGCTGTCGCTACTGGAGGGCAGATAATCCGCGCCCATCTTCCGTAGTTTGGCTTGATAATATCTCTTCTTGGCCCGTGCCGCCTTCTCTTTCTGTCTCACTGCTTTCCTCTTCTCCTCCCACACACACTGCTGCAGCAGTAACAGACTCATCTTCTGCTGATGCTCCAGCTCAAACAGTTCCTGTCGACGTGACTCCCATTTTGAGTCTGAGGTATAAGAGTCCGTCGGCGGCAATGAATTCTCAACTGATCCTCTGGCAGGAGCACGTGGCACCGCAGGCTCTCTGTGTATGATCTCAAAGTTTTCACCCCTAGTCCCTGGTGCCAGCCCTGAGGTGCTTCCTGCGTGGGTTGGGTAGATGAGGGAGGGACGACTGGACCTGGAAGAGACTGATTGTGAGCAGAGAGGAGAGGACACAGTGCCAGGAGGAATCCCAGAGTTGAAAAGTAGGTGAGAAGGTGAAGCCAAACCAAGTTCAATGGCTAAGTTCTCCTTGCTGTCTACTTCCTGTAAAAAAAAGTAAGTTGAACAGCATCATATTTGCTGTACATTTTTGCAATAAATTCAAAAAGGCATGTAGTACATGAAGTAAACAGGATATTTCACACTGGTGAAAATAATAGTGTATGGAATACAGAATATTATATAACTATGTTTATTTCTAGAGGTTTTTTTTCCACATTTTTGTAACATTAAAAATGCATTTACTGTCACATATCAATTTAATCCAAGCTAAAAGTATGAATTCCTCAAAAAAATACTTACCCTTATAATATATATATATATATATATATATAAATATATGTATTCATTTTCACCAATGCAAAATGCATGTAAAATATTGACCTTGTAACACTTTACATTTTAACATGCCTGATACATCGTCAATCATTTTTTTTGTTAAGAAAATCTGCAATATAAAAGAAAACATTTAGCTTAAGAGGCATTTTAGCAATCATTTCAAGGCCGATTTCTGTCTTACATCATTTTGACTGTGGTCAGCATCTTCATGCTCACTCCCATTAGAGCCTGAAAGACCCATCACTGCAAAAGAGAGAATGCCTCAATTAATCTCCTTCCATGTATAATTACAGAGTTGACAGCTGGGCAGAGGAGTAGTATTTCATCCTGTAGTAGAGATGACATGACTATTAATTACCTGCTCCAGGTGAGCCGCTCCTAACTGAGGCATAGCTCCCATCTCCATCTACCTCCTCCAGACAGGAGATCAGGTTTGGCACCAGGGCAATGACTTCTCTCTGCACCTGACAGAACCACACACAACCACACTGCGTTGACTCTAAAAGCAAATGGAACTCTGCGACTCGAAGTTCCAAAGCATTTAACTGAATTCTAAACATATTTCAATTTACCTGAGTGAGGGCAGACACAGGATGCCCAGCTGCCTGCTGTTCCTGTCTCTTCTGCAGCGCTACTCGACATTCCACCTTCAGTCGTTTCCACAGCGTCTTCAGAGACCCGATGCTGCTGGGGGGTCGACTGGGGAACGCCGAATTGAAGGCCTGAGCCAGCTCTGCCCATACAGCATTCCGGTGCACAGTAGTGTTGGTGTCTTTCCGAAAGTCCTGGACTGTGTCCACCACCGCATGGATTCTCCGAAGCAGGAAAAGCTTTTGCTCCAGAGTGAAGTTTGGCATGCGGTATGTCATGGTGGTCAGCATGAGTGTATTTGTGTGTTACTGGGTACAAAGGCTTATGTTGAGGTACTATGTGTTACTTCATTTATAGAAAATCTATAAAATCACTATTTGTTTTTATATTCAACAGAACAGTCTAGTTTAAAAACTTTAAGTGTTGCATGTATAGTTTTAGATGGCAACATTGGCAGTATCACAGTGTCAGTTTTTGAGTTTTACACTCCAGCATTACAGGAAGGTAAGGTCGGTTTGGTCCCGTTGTGTGCAGTGCGCTTCCAGAGTTTCAGGTGCAGTGATATGTTAAACTCTGGATGCCACAGGTAAATACGAGTGTGTGAGGTTGCTTGATCATCGGTGCTCAACGGAAATGCATCTGGGGTCCACCTGATGCGCAAGGGGTCACCAGGCACACATGTGAAGTCTGTAATTCAGCAGACAGAAAGCAAAATGAAGGGACTAGTTTTTTAATTCTAAATATTTGCTCCAAATCTTTGAAGAATGAATGAAACATTTGATTTTTTGGGGAAAAAAACATGTGCTCCATGAGTTAATTTCTAAGAATCGGTTCTTTTGAACTGTTCGTTCAGCAGTTCTGTCGTCGTTAAAACATATAATGCCGTTTATATTATGTTGCTGTATATTTCTGGCTTTTTTCGATTACATTTTGTAAATATTCATTCATCTTTAATCTTCATTTTAATTTTATTTGTCAAAGTTTTTAACAACCATTATTTCGCTCTTTAATTAACTAAAAATAAGTAATTTATTCACATCTCTTGGTTGAAAATAAAGTTTTTGCAGCTTTTTACTTTTATGCATTTAAAAAATTATATTTTGTGTTGATAGTTAGTACACATATTTCCATGCGCAGTTTTATTTGTAGCAAATCTGCTGTTTAGTTATTTAAATAATATAGCTCAAATCCTATGCTTTCATTCTCGGCTCGTTTCTTGACTACGATTCAGTCCGGTTTTGTGAATCAGTTCACAAAACCGGACTGAACCGACTCATTGCATCGATCGGACTCAAAATAATAATTCGTATAGGAATCGCATCGCTATTATTACACGCAAGAGACGAACAAAGCAAACATAAGCTTTTAAATCCATGACTTGTCTAGTACTACAGGTGTGGGTGGAGCAGGCTGCATTTTATTTGAATAATTATAATTACGAATCCACTGTCTGGTTAGCCACAGCGCTAAACCCGAGCATCGCACTACAGAAGTAAACCCGAGCTGCGATCTGCGACGTAAGACTACAGCTAGAGCTCACTGACTGTTCTTAATGAAGCTCTCGTGCATTACACAACCGCTATGAAAAACTGATATTATATCATTTATATTGACCCTACTTACATGCAATCATCAGTCTGACGATTTTATCCCGAATATATTACACTTTGTCCCCACCCCCTGGGTTTAAGCGGTCCGTAAGAAATTTAAACAACAGACTGGAGACACATGCGCAAAAAGACGCTCCGGGCGTAAAAAAAGAAAGGCAATTCACCCATTTGTGCATTTCATATGATTTGTATACCATTCTCATTAGATCTGTTCAACACATATGGTTTGTGCATCAGGCAAAATATACAAACCTACGAGTTTAAACAGTCGAAAGCGCAGGACTCGTTTCATCCAATTGACTGCCAGTGTGGTGCAGTCTGTGCAGTATTGAACCGCGCGATTGGACGCTGCGCGATCTCAACGAGGAAGCGAGAAACACATGCACGAAACATGTTCAACAGAGATGCGACTGTGGCTAATGGTCTGGATCTAGTATGAAAGAAAAATACACAAGTTCTCCATTTCACCTCCTCTCAAAATAAAGGCACGATCTCTACAGGGGACGCGTAAGTGAAACTGAGCTCGATAGAGGTGTTGTTACGATGATAAAACATGGAGATTATCCCTGCTGGAAATACAATGTATGGTAACCGTGTCCTGTTAAAAGGAGACTGAAGTTTTACTTTCAATAAAAAAGGTAGCAAACCGGTACAAAACCTACTTTAGTTGTTATATTTTGGAACGTGTACGTTAGCTGGCCATTTAAATTAAACTGCCCATTTAAACCAGTTAATAATGTTAAAGATTGGACCATTTTTAATCTCTGGTCAGTTAGAACCAAATGTCATGTTCCAAAACACATTAATTAATAGGGTAAGATTAGTACTGTTCACTTACTCAATTATTGGTGTTTGTTTACTTGACATTCGTTGTTTACACAACACTCATTAGAGTATTAGTAGACTGTCTGCTTAATATCTGCCAACTCTTTATTGTGATGCTTCTCCAACAGACAATTTACTGACTATATGTAACTTTTCAAGTACATGTCAACTTATTCTATCCCTAACCCTACCAGTCTACTAACACTCTAGTGAGAGTTAGTAGAGACTTAGGTGCAACGTTACTTAAAGTCAACTGAATGTGTTAAAGGGACCATCCAAATAAAGTGAAACCGAATGCACACCTGAGGAATGTTGTGCAATGTCATGTGCATTATTTTCTTATAATTCAATGGCCGAGAATCAATTATTTCACCTATGTTTACCATACCTCTAACACTGATTTGATTTAATAGTATAGTAAAGGCCATTGTGAGCATTATGCATTTATTCTAATTTATTTATTTATTTGTCAGAGACTTCTGCATGTGAAAAACTTCAGGAAGTCATACAGTAATAAAAAAAAATGCTGTAAATTTTTTTGTTGTGCTCTAGAAGTCTTCAGCCTGTGGTGTGGATGGGTGAGATGGCATCTCCTGTGGGGTCTGCTGTGAAGGAGATCGCTGTGCTTGTTGCACCAGTGACTGCGCTGGAATTCCTGGGGGAGGATTTCCTGTTGACAGGTTACTGACATTCATTCTTTTAATGAACAGGTACCAAATCATCAAACTTAAAACCCATTTTGGATTCAATTATGCAGCATATGGCTCATGGGTAATTTTGAGATGGTTTCTCTCTGCAACCATAAGGTTCTCCAAATGTTCTTGTTTGATCTAGTTTACATTTATTTAATCCATTGGTTAACATTAAAAACTATAATATCATATGTAGTTAGAGACTAGAAAGTCTTTAAAACCTGCATGACATTCAGATCATAAGAGTTTGATATGTAGGCCACATGTATTACAATATTAAACACCTTGTATACTGTTACCCCTAACCATGGTTTTCATCAAACATATAATGGGTACTGGAACTGTTTTTGTCAAGTGATTTTGCACAATTCTGAGATAATAATGTCTCTGTACAATTCACCTTCCATATTTCTTCTACTTGTCATTTGCGCTGAACTGCTTTGTACCTTCTTTAAAATATAACCTCACATTTTTTTTACAGAAACAATATTTTATTGTAAATTCTATAATTGAAATTTAATAATATCAACTACAAAATAAAAAGAGTTGGTTTTCCAAAACCACTGCACCTGTAAGAGTCAAATGGGATAAGTCAGTGGTTCCATCTTTTGACAAAGAGAGTCTTGGTTTTCTTCCTTTGCTGAATTTCATTCCTTTATTATAAGAATAAGGTGCTTGAGAAATGTCTCTCAATTTTTATAATGTGTATTTATCTTTATTAACAAGTTATTAATTTGATTTTTTCCTGCAATTGTGGCATTTTTTAGGTGAGGGACCAATCCTCTCTGTTTACAGTCTTCAAGAATCTACTAAATGTGCATCTTTAAATGTTCTCCATAACTACCGCATCCATGGGATACGACCTGGTAGAAAACATCAGTCTGAAGAGAGTCAGTTCTACAGTGTAATTTCATCTGAAATTTCTGTTTGGGACAATGACGAGGAGAAGATAATTGTTTTTGGAGGAAAAGGAGTTCGGCTTGTCAGCTTCAGTTCTGCAGGACAATGCCTGAAGCTGATTGGTCCACTCTTGGAGCTTCAAGACTGGGTGCTGGACATTCAGTGGCTGAAAGCACAACCCCACACATTGTTAGGCATAGCCTTGGCCCACAATGCCCTGCTGCTCCTAGAAGCAGAATCTGGTAGCATTCTCTCCTTCTACTCTTGTGAAGAGTCCTGTCTTCTCTACTCGGCACTTATGATTGGTCCAAATTGGGACTCTTTAGTGCTGGTGGGTGGGACTGTTTTTAACCAGCTTGTGCTGTGGAGGCCCACAGGGACCAAACCCAGTGGCCAATCCCAGGTGGAGAGACGTCTACTGGGCCACAGTGGAGTCATTTTCAGTCTTTGCTACCATCTGAAATCTGGGTGGCTGGCGTCTGCCTCGGATGACCGCAGCGTTCGTTTGTGGAGCGTGGGCACATTGGGTGGAGATGCAGGTTGTGGAGAGGAAACACCAACATGTCTTCGCGTGCTTTACGGGCACCAGGCACGGGTCTTCTGTGTCAAGCTTACACCCAACCGTGTATTCAGTGCAGGAGAAGATGGAGCATGCCTGCTCTGGGAATGGGGAGGGGAGGGGAAGGTGGGATGTACGTTTAAAGGACATAGGTCTGGTGGAGTGAAGGCTCTTGCTGTCAGCGGGGGAAGTATAGGCTGTCGGGAGGGATGGATGGCTACTGGAGGTGCAGATGGTGGGGTAAGAGTGTGGAGAGTGGCAGATGAGACGGAAGATAGCAAGAAATCTCAGGCAGAGACTCAGCTGGATCTGGAATTTAAAGGGCAAGGTTGTCCAAAAGTGGTTCGATTAGTGGGTGAGGGCGAATCGAATACAGTTCTGGTCTGTACTGATCAAGGAGAGGTGTGCCTTAGTCAGGGTGACACCTGGGATGTCATCTGGCAAGGAGGAGCAGAATTCCAGTCATATTGTGTGATGGAGATCACAAGCATCCAAGTCCAGAATTCAAATTGCACTGTGTGGGTGTGTGCAGTGGGTAATCTGAACGGAGGTGTCCAAGTGTTCCTTATAGAGCAGCCAGGCATTGGAGTCTTGCTAAAAGCTGGACAGGGTAAAGTTCACTCTGTACTTTGGGTCAAGGGACTGTCTGGAGGGTCCTGGAGTTGGTGTCTTCTGGCTTCAGGCTCTGAGGGATTGGTGTACCGGTGGACAATAAAGGTGATGGAGGATGAATCAGGCCTGCATATGAAAGAGGAAACTCTTCTTCCATTCCTGCTGCCACCCTGTGCCAAACGCTGGCTGACTGCTGTAGTTGCCTTGCCACAAAGAAAAGGGTTATACCTGTGTGGTGACCGGAGAGGGTCACTACTGCTCTATGCCGAAAGAGAAAAGAATGACACAAGAAATGGAGGAGAAAGAAGAATGGAGTTACAAGATCAAGAAACCAAAAACCGACAAACGCAAATTGGCGGGCCTATATCTCCCATCAGTACCCTTTACGGAGTCCATGGGAAGCAAGGTGTGACTTCCGTGTGTGAGTATCAAGACTTATGTTACAGTACAGGTCGAGATGGATCTGTAAGAATACTAACTGTTGAAGAAAACGTCCTGAAGGTGCGTAGAGTTCAGCGGGCCTGCAGTGGCATGGAGTGGCTTGAGAAGGTTCTGTTTCTGGGCTTGGATGGACCAGAGGCACAAGGAAAGATGCCGAATGAGAGAATTGAGAAGAGGAAGATCGATCAAGAGAGTGAAAGCGTAGCTGAGGCTCGGTTTGTAATGGTTGGCTTCCATTCTGTCCACTTCATTATATGGGACCCTCACCGTCAAGAGAAGCTATTATCAGTTGCCTGTGGAGGCGGCCATCGATCCTGGGCCTACAAATGCCCGATACACACCCACACGGATCCTCATGCACATGCAATCGGACATGGTACACTTGTGTTCATCAAACATGGAGCTGTCATGGCATCACGTTCATTAGCGTCCACAGAAACCGATGTGAATGGACACACCCTGAAAGAGGGGCTACATGGGCGAGGCATCAGCTGTGTGTGTCATCTTGGTAGTCTTACAAAGACTAGAGAGTTGTCAGAACTTTGGGAGATTTTTGTTACCGGAGGGGAGGATACCACAGTGGGTGTACTTGCCGTCAATCCACAGAGTGGAACTGTTAAAGTGCTTACCGTTCTAACAGACCATATTTCAAATGTTCGTGCTCTGGCTGCCGTCAGAAGAGAAGAAACTAATGAAAGAGGGAGAGGTGACCGGACAGATACCTCCTTGTCTTCTTTGGTGTTCTCAGCGGGTGGCCGGGCTCAGCTGCAGTGTTACCGGCTCTTGATTAGTTTGGATGAGCAGCAGGGTGAGCCGATCTGTCAGGTCACTCAGATAGCTGGCCATCGATTGGATGAACAGTGGGAACGAAAGCGGAATCGACACAAGACCATCAAAATGGACCCAGAAACGAGGTACGTATGTGTTTCTCAAAAGACTTTCCTAGTTTTGAGCTAGAGTTAGGTTTGGGAAGTCATTTGTGTTGTCTTAAAGGAATATCTCTAAAATGAAAAATCAGTCATCATTTACTCACCTTCATGTTGTTTCAAACATGTATGAATTTTGGGGGTGTCCAGTGTTTTTTGATGGTTGGTACGGTAGTAGTTGTTTTGAAAATGTTTGACCACCAGAGAGCGGACAATACAATGTACTCCCATTTACTTTGCAAATGCTTTCTCGTGTTTGCAGGTACATGTCTATGTCTGTGGTGCGTAATGGGACTGAATATGTTCTGGCTCTGGGCTGTAGTGATGGTGCAGTAAGGTAACTTGATTTGACATTAAAAACATATAATTTAAAATTAGTTTAAAACATGTTTTAACATTCTGTGATTAATGCATTGAGACTGTGTGTTTTCTCTTTTAGGCTGTTCAGTGTGACTGAGAGCAATAGGAGTGTTGACATGCTTTGGGAGTGTTTTTACCATCAGAGGTGTGTGCTCAGTGTCGCCACCTACAAGCTGGAGGAATCCCAGGGCAGAAAGTAAGGAAACGCTGTACATTTATCAAAAACATTGTGATTCCATGTTTACATTATTTCTGACACTTATTTGCATGTGTCCATCTCTTTCGGTCTCAGGCTTTTGTTGCTGTTCAGTGCCACTACAGATGGTTGTATATCTGTGTGGGATTTAACAGCAGTTTTGAACAGTAAGGCTGGTGTCAGCTGGCAGGGTGAGTCATACATACACCAGAAACATAAACACTTGTTTTTTTTATTATTATTTTTAATGTCTGTATAACTGTGTTTTTTGTTGTTGTTGTTTTTTTTTTTTGCTTTGGTTAAGGAAAAAATTATGTTATTTGTTTTTATTTGTTGTATATGTTAAAGGTATAGTTTACTCAAATATTAAAAACTTTCTTTATTTACTCATTATTATTAGACTTTCCTTTTCAACTCTTTTACATACATCAACATCTCATAGTGACCACAGCTATTAGGCTCCAAAAGTGAAATTTTCTCTGATTCAAAGATGGAGTATGTGTATTGTTATAAATAAATAAATATTATTTTATCAATTACAAACCCAAGAGTATTACAAAATGTTATGCATAAAAAAAAAACTTTGAAGGTGTCCCAAAACCCCATAGTGTCGTGTGCCATGAGCCACGAGTCTGGTGGTAATAATACTTTAAAATATGTGTTTGTCAATAATGATTTACCCTTTCTTTGCTTCAGGCCCATCAGCCCCTTTCTTTTCTATACCTGTCCATCAAAGTGGAGTCAATACACTTGCCTTATCACCACAGAAAGAGATGCAAATGGAGGAAAACATGATCTCATTGGCCAGTGGTGGAGATGATGGAAAGCTGTCTCTACTGAGTATCAAGATTGAACAGAAAGATCAGGAGAATGGTGGCATGTCTCTACAGCTACTTTCTCATAGGTCAGTGCCCCTGGCACACTCTTCCCCTCTCACTGGGCTATGTTTTCTAAGCCCAACCCTATTGGTGTCCACCTCGGCAGACCAACGCTTGTGTTTGTGGAGTGTGAACAGCGATGGCCTCTTCCCACTGAAGGTGCTGTTCTCACACACCGCAGATGCTGCTGGATTGTGGGCGTGGTTTGGGGTGGGACAAGAAGGAGGTGCCTGGGTGGTTGTTTGTGGCCAGGGCTTACAATTGTTTCAATTAACGGAAAGAGAGATGGATGAACCAAATGAAACTGTTAACAGGAGTGCAAAAGAAGAGGAAAGAAAGAAAGTGATATTTTCACATCGTGTTTCAAGGACATGACACTGACTATCAGCACTCTTTTTTATGATTTATAAATTAAGATACCAAAGAATTGGAATAAATTCAAATAAAGATCTTTTTAGTATGTCATATTTTTACTGTGCCAGAGAAAGTATTTTATCAATATAGCCTACCAATGAATGTCTATACAGCTGTGCAGGACCAGTCTCATTTTGAACACGCGATTTACTGAATTTGTTTCTCATCATCCTACAGACATTTTGATATAAAGCTAGTGTTGTTGTTAACTAATGTAAAACTATTAAAAAAACATTTTCGCTAATTGAAATAGATCTGAAATAAAATACAGCTGTCAACATTTGAAGTGGATCAAAAAGTTTATTAAGCGCTTTGAGTGCCAAGAAAAGCGCTATATAAATGTAATGAATTATTATTATTATTATTTTTATTATTTATTATTATCAAAGTTGTCCAAGACAAGAACGGGTATTGTTCAAAATTCATGTATAACTCTGATGAAAGGTTTTGATCCACTTCAAATGTTGACTACAGTATAAATATTTAAGGAAAAACGTACACTGATCGTTGAAGTACTAAAATTATATATATATATATATATATAAACAATTACTCTAAATAATAAAAATGACGAAAGTACATAAGATTACTAAAACTAAATTTAAAAGGGAAGATATCAAAATGAAAGCCAATTAAAAACATTAATAAAAAACTATAATAGTATATGCTTGCTAAAAAAGAGTCTTGTGCTTGTAATAATATAAATTATATATAAAAAAATAAATGACAAATAAAATATAAATGAAATGGATGAACTGGGCCGAGCCGTGTGAACACCTTCAATACTGTTTAAAAAGAACCTAAAGATGATTGATGGATTGTTTTGATTTGGTTTGTACACGTTTTGGGTTCTGGTTTTGGTGACTATTATTCTAAAATGCTAAATATATTATTGAATATGGAAAGAATGAGAAGGTGTCCAAAGTTTTAAATGGTATCGAATGTGTTACGACTGTGTACGTGTGTGAGTGGCTTATGGCTTGAAGAGATATTCATGCGTGTGTAATGGATCAATGCTTTTCCTGGGCTACAGGCCAGCAGGTGTGTGTGGGTGAGTGAGTGAGAGAGAGAGGGTACACAGTGTGTTTGGGGGCTTTGACTGTGCAACTAAGTATAAATATTTCACCCCCTTCTCCAGTTCCCTTTTGTTCATCATCGTAGCAGCTCGTCCCGTCCCTGTAATCCACAGCTGAACGAATGCAAGCAAGATAGGAAAGGAAACACGTGAGAGAGTCAAAGATATAAAGCCACAAGGTTTGCAGAATTTGAAAAAGGAATGAGATTATTTTCTGATTACATGATGTTAAAAAGGAGTGACAAAATGTGAGAAGACAAAAGTGAGTAAAATTCTGCAATAGTTTCTTTAGTAGCTATAATTGCGATACCATTTAAGTGTTGATGGATATTTTGAATTAGTCTTTATTTTTTATTTCTTTGATTTTTATTTTGATCTTAGTTAATGTCTTGGTCATTTTGTTGTGTGTTTTTGTAATTTATGTATGTTTTATTCATTTGTATTTTAGTTTGAGTTATTTTAGTACATCAACAATGAGAAAGTAGCTGAAATAAAACATCTTTATGCATGCTTTTTCATTTCAGTTAATTTTTATTTTATTATGATGCTGATGTCTCTCTTTTTTTGAAGTGAGTCACTGTGTGTGTTGATCTTTTGAGAAAGGATGTCACGGTTCAGGGAAACCGTTAAAGAGGACGAATCTGGACAGAAGAACTCTAAGATGCCTCAAAAACGAAAGAAAAAGGAAGCTGAAAATGAGACGGTATGGCTGTTCCACAAAAATGACTTGAAAATGGATTGAATACACAAGTGAATATACAGTATCACTGATTCATTAAACAGTCATGATCATGTGTGTGATATCACTAAACAGGACAATAGACTGATCTCGAAAGATAGGCTTCCTCTGATTGGTTCATCAGGCAACAGAACTGCAGGTATAGTAAATACATCACCTAGTTAAATGACTTTTATAGTCTACATGGAATCATTGCATTAATACAGGATATGGCGAGATGTACTGGAAATAAAATGTTTTCATAACTTGCTAATCAGTCCTCATGCATAACATATAAACTGTGTGTTTACATTGATCTTTGTTTCTCCTGTCTACACAATGTTATCTGAGCTCATCAATAGACAATGCAAGTGCAAACCATAGGGTGCAAACTCAAAGATATTCAGGAGGTGCTACGTTAATTAGCTGCTTTTGTCCCAACATGTGCCTTTGTAATGGACTTGTTAGGTGAGGGGATAATTAGAACTGAACGTGTGTGAGATAAAGTTAAAAAAAAGTTAAATATATGATCCTGTCTCTTACAGCAAAACAGGTAATTAAATCTATAAAGATATAAGATATAAAGTCGCAAATCTGAGAAAGTAGCAATTGTGAGAAATAAAGTTGCAAATTCCATTCCAACAAATACAAGTTGTAATACTTGCAAATAGTCACAATTATGAAAAATATATATAAATATAATAGATTCAATTATGGAAAAAATCACAATAATTAAAAAAAATACATTTGTAAGAATGTCGCAATTCAGAAATATGTAGCCGCTATTACAAAAAATAAAGTCTCACATTTTTTTTATTCTAATGTGGAAATTCTGATTCTATTTCTTCATCTATTCTGCTTTTAGCAAGGCCTTCTCTATCCACTCCCCAGCATCCTCCTCAGGACGACATGAGAAAACGTGGTCATCCTCCCATCTCATCTGTGGCCCCTGACAGCATGGCACCCTGGGAAGGCTCCTCCCACTCCGAGTCCTCCTTTACCAGTTTCCCCCCTCCGCTTTCACCCCTTCCTCTTGCCCACTCAAAGCCAATCAAAGCACCAGATCCTCCGCTACCCCTTCCACCCCCTTCTCAAATCAAAAACATTGAACCTGAGAATGGACAGAGTGCCAGAGTAAAACGCAAGCCCCTCCCACCAAGACACCCCTCTAGACCTCCTCGTTTACCCCCTCTGAGGCAAGTAACAAATCTTAGCTTTTCTCGAAGTTTCACTTTTTCCTTTTTTGAGCTGCCGGTTCACCAGTCTGCACGAAGCAGAGCGGAGCGGCTCAGAGATCTCACTGTGCTCCTGAGGCAGTTTCAATACTGAGTTTACATCTGGGGCAGAATATCTGACATGACTTCACATCAGCATTATATGCTCAATTAGAATTTCAGATTAATATTTGATATATTTTTGGCTTTTATCCTGTTTGTGGTGCACATTTCTGCTGTTGTACTGAAGGTTAAAGATGCACTTTGTAATTTTTTATGATGCACTGACTGTATATGTGGTCACCAAGGTGCATTTTGTTTTTTACAGTAAAACATGAATGTTGTGAAAT